TGCGATTCGCCATGTCATAAATCTTTTGCTAAGGTGCAATATTTATTTTGTTATATTAATTTTTTTATTTGGTCTTTATTAAGCGGGAGTCGATGGTGTCCGTCTGTCCGTGAACACATTAACTGCCAAACACGTGGACCGATTCGGTTCAAACTATTGAAAACGGGTTAAATCAAATGACCCCGTAGGGTCACACCGAGGTTCTCTGCCGCTTTAGGGGTTTATTTCCATCCCTGATGGCGCTCGAAAAGCAGAAAAATCAGTTGGGCAAGAAAGGAAAATAGCACAGGGACTATCCATCGTTTTTTATGGCCAACGTTCAACAAATTAGAGACAAGCTGAAATTTAGCAAGGTAGTTTGTTTTAAGGGTCTAAAAACGCTCTGAAACCCCAGCGTCGAGGCGTTGAGCCCGTCATCCCAAAACCACCCCTTAAGTATTATAAAATCTACGTTTTTTGAAATTTTTCGTAATAACTCTAAAACGAAGCATTTTAAGAAAAAATGCCAAGAGAGGAAAATTGTAGGGAAGAAAATTTCCTACCGAATAGACGAATAGAATTTTTTAGATGTTAAGTGGCGCAGATACAATTTTCAGCAACTCATTGAAGTAATCGAAATACTATTTTCTAATATTTCTGTAACACGCCGGACACTGTTCTCTTAGAATGCCTACAACATGATGAATTCAATCCTACCTGCAAGGGGGGGCCTTCGAAGTGACCCCCGTAACTCTAAACAACCACCCCCACCCCAATCGTGGGCGTCTCGACTTTTCTGGCACCCCATTCTCGGTTTAGTTCGTACTTGCAGTTAGTGTTCCAATCAATATTTTCCAAACTCTCCTTTATATCACATTTTTGTAAATTTATTTGTAAAAAGGTAGCTTTTAATCTCACTTTGGCCGGCTGGATGGACGGCTGACAGCAAATGCGGACCCGTTGAAGAACGCTTGTGGAAACACGAGGTGTGTACATGTACCTACCGAATACGTGTAATTAACAACTTTAGGGACGGAACTACATGATCTGGGGCGGCGAAATCTGGGCGTCATCCTCGAGTATGTTATACTAACGTGGTGATTTTTAGTTTTTCCTATCTTCTTCTATAGTTTGGGTCCGATTGTTTTTAAATTGGTGTCATCGGAAAGATCTTGTAAACGCGCCCAACTTCTGCGTGGCGGAATTTTTTTTTTCGTAGAGCGAAATAAACCAACTTTTGCAAGGCGCGCGTTTTCGAGGGGTTGTCGACTTCGACCGCCCAAAAGTTGCCTTCCCTTGTGAATTTTGTCACGCAGTTTAAAATTTCCTAAAGTCCAAATCACTGTCTCTCCTTCTCGTGTCGCCAATAGAAGCTCGAGCTATGAGAAGTGCCCCAAAAATTCAGTACTATTTTGTGGAGGATTTCTTGCGATTGAACGGGACGTCGGAAGGGAATTTGGTTGTCGGCGACAATATCTTACTGATGGGGGAGTTAAAACTACCAACGCGAATTGCGGGAGAACGGGACTTCAGAGTGGGTACTGACAAAGGAGATCTTACTGATGATGGAGTCAAAGTTTGCTAATAGAATATTGATCTACCATACAAAAATGGGCTGAAGTTCCTTCGATAGAGGACTTTGATAATTGTTTATTAAATAGATTTTTCGACACTTAATGTATTATACTAACCGTCCTAATATTTTCAATTTTCTTCCATTGATTCTTTTTTCAATGAATGTCTTTTTACCTCTGCGTTAGCGGTCGACAAAGACAAATCACCAATCGAACACAAGTACACCATTTTTAACAACGTGAAATTAATCTACGGCAACACTGGCTGCAAGTATAGGTATACGAAGTAAACGGAGAATGAGGTGCCGGAAAAGCTTTTTCCTACCACCTAATATAGTACTTCTTGCACAGTTTTGAAGGGCGAAATCTGTACTTTTCCAAACTAAGGGAGGAAAAAGTTTTCCCTACCTCAACACCGTAATGTAAGGTTATAAGTGAATAAAATACCCTTCAATTCCAACTAACTTTATTGATACCTACTTGATATTCTCAGTGCTAGTAGAAGAACCGAAGTTAAAGGTGCAATTAGTAACACTTTTGAAAGTAATACTACCAGAAAAAGGCCAGGAAAATCGATTGCCATTGAAACCTGTACTTTCGATGTTTGTAGAATTCATTTGATCTTCTCCAAAAAACTTATAACCTTATAAAAATTAATTTTATCTCTCATTGTATTCTAACTACGGGTCTCAACGAAAGGAACCGTTTTCTACCAACTACTGCCTTTCTTTCTGTCTTCTTAGCAAAGTACGCGGTGAAGGGGGGGGAACTAGTTTTATCCTTCATCGTACTCTAATTAAAGGTCTCAACGAAAGGAATTAATTTCTACCAACTATAGCCCTCCTCCTTTGCCTCTTATCGTGATCGGTTATATTCCCTTATACCTCAAGAACGGATTGTCGGAAGATGGTACTCACAAAGGGCGATACACGTCTGCAAGAAATATATCCATTGGTGATGTCAAAACAAAAGCTATTTCGGTTTAAAAAATGCGCTTTATCTGCACAAGACTTGTGCACAATTTATACTTGTTTATTTATGAAGGTATTTAAATGAAATTTGATACATACGAGTATAGGCACTTCTAAAAATCAAAATTTGGTTTTGCGCATGCTCAGTGCCAACTTTCTTATTTATTTTTTATGAATCACTTAATTCCTAAGTACGAAATATGGAATTTAACCAAAGGTATTAGTGGGTATTAGTAGGTATTTGTGGGTATTAATATGGGTATTAGGTGTTATAGTGGGTATTAATAGGTATTAGTTCAGCAAAATCGGGTATTACACGTATTTAGAGGTATTAGTGTACAATATTTTAGATTGCAAAGAATTTTAACATTTTTATAGATCTTTGAGAAGTTAAGATGTGTTACGGCGATGGCGGAGATATAAGGTGACTTAATAATAATAATAATAATCTTTATTGTCCATACAGCAATAACACCAATATTGGACAACTTCAAAATGTTTAAAGAAACAGTAAAAACGTTGAAGTGCAATTAACTAAAAATAAAACTATAGAATTCTGTGACAACGAATATGTTAATTAGATATAAAACTAAAGATCAGGTATATAAGTGAACGAAAATGCAATAATTACTGTGTATAAACTAAAACAAAAATAAAAACAAAAAATATTATTTCAAACTAAGAAGCTATTTAGCGTTTTTAATGTACAATTAAAAATGTCTACTATATGACATATTAAATTATAATTATAATTGTGACACAGGGTGGCGAATTCTTCAGGCTAATTGTGTTACACTTTGGTATGTGAAACGTGAGGGCACGCCTTGCCGACAATCTTGGTATGCTTAGTTTTATGTAATTATGTAGTGCTATACAGTCAGTATTATTATTCATTAGATTGAACAACAACGCCATACCAATACGTTTCCGTCTAACACAAAGTGGTAATAGATTAAACTTTTCCAGCATCTGCGATCGGGGATATCCTCTAACTGGATATCGTCCCTCACATCGAAAAAATAGATATTTTAAGAATCGGTGTTGAACCTTTTCGATTTGTTCGATATTTTTACTAAAGTATGGTTGCCACATGCAAGCGCAGTACTCCAACTTAGATCGGACAAGAGCACAGTATAGACACTTGATAGTAGAAACGTCTTCAAAGTCCATGCTTGACCGAATTATAAACCCAAGGGCCTTCAAAGATTGTTTGACTACTTCATTTACATGGAGTGAAAAGGATAAACGTTTATCTAACACGACGCCTAAGTCTTTGACATAGCTAGTCCTAAGTAAGGGAGTATTGGTAATGCTAATCAAACTCAATATCTGTACGCTTACGGGAGAATGTAATTACTTTGCATTTGCTTATATTCAAGCGTAGTCTATTACTTTCGCACCACTGATGTAGATTATCTAGATCCTCTTGAAGCCGATAACAATCATTCACACAGGATACTTTCGTAAATATTTTCAAGTCGTCGGCAAATAAAAGGTTCTGCGAAGATAGGAGTTATATGCCAGCACCCCTAATCACGTACACGCCACTGGAGGGATCCCATTCCACATTGATAAAACTAGAAGAACCTCTAAGTTGCACTTTTCTCGCATCTAATCTTTTTTCGCCAAATGTTATATAAGTATGATAAATAACGGTGTTCCGCATAATTGCACTTTTTTCCATACTTTATCTTTTGAAAGCATTGTTAATCATATTTAGATATTTTACGAAAACTGTTAAATAAGTAATTATCAAACTTTATCTTTTCATACCAGTAATTATCTCTTAAATAGTATATAAGCTTACCTATTTGAACGAAGATGACTTTTTCTAAGCTTCAGTTGTTACCTGCGTTGCTTCATTAATAAACGTATTAAAGCAAATGAGTAATTAATTCGGAGTTGGAAGAACGTCAACACGTAATTGGCGCAGTCGGTAGGATAATCCTGTACAGTGTTACGAAACATAGTGCCGTTAGCAAAAATCGCGCGGAAAGTGTTTTACGGACATTGGTGATTTTTAAATCTTTGACGGGATATTGACTGTAAAATGAGTAATTAATTCGGAGTTGGAAGAACGTCAACACGTAATTTAGGTGCGAAGAGAGGTCGTTATAATATCAAAAAAAGAAAGAAAAGGGCCCAAGTTTGAGCCCTGCGGAACACCAGACGTGGGCACAAAGCTTCTAGAATCATGTCCGCCGTAGGAGACAAATTGGGATCGGCCCGTCAAGTACGATTTAAAGAATTGTATTAGCGGCGTGCTCCATCCATATTGAGATAGCTTTTTCAAAATAATAAAGTGGTCTATTTGATCGAATGCTTTTTCAAAATCGCTATATATAGCGTCCATTTGACCCTGGGTATCCAATATTCCTAGTGCATATCGCGTGAAGCAAGCAAGGTTAGCTTCCAATGATTGATGCTGTATATACGTATATTACAACAGAATTATTACATTTTGTAGTTTAGAGGATAATGTCAAACAAAAAAGAACAAAAATATTAAAGAATAATAACATAATTAGTGATCGATTGCAGAAAAACGTTTACAATCCTTATAAAGGCTCGGTCTTATTGATCAATAAGTGTCAGTATTGCAATAGTTACCTGTGTCGCAATACGAACAGAACTTGTTTGCTCCGTTATTGGTTCTATGCCAAGCACAATCACGGGAAGAAGCCAGTCTCTTCGTAAAATCAACGCTCTTACCGTCTTTGGTCTCAGCTGAAAAAATGTAGATGGTATTCGTGCATTAGATAACACATACATTACTTACTTCCAAAATAAAATACGCAATATACACGTCCTGGATAATTGCTCTGTACGGTAATATTAATCAACTTACGACATTTATTAAGGAGTGTAGGGGAACTGTCGGACCTACCCTCGCAACCATAGCAGTATGTTGTGTCCGAACCTACGATTCGATACGTTAAAATAAATCAAATAATGGGCATTCGACATGTTTCAAAAAGCGTGTACTAGCATAGCAACGAATACTTTCACAAAAAAAGAATTATTTTTTGCGTATTAGTGATCCATTCAAAATAATTTCCAAGACCATGGCGTTCATGTGTGTATGTATACCTTGTTCCCGACTTACAATAGAAGTTAAATTAAAAAGCAGTCAGTTCAGCCATGTTATTCTAAATGCTTGTAGCCTGAGGGTGCTAATAGTTCGTAGGTACAAAACTGGCAGCAAATGAAGGCTTCCAATTTAAAGACCGTTCGTGCATAAAATCATAAACATTAAACAACATACCTGAGGCAACACCTACACACATGAGACCAACTGAAGCCAATACAAGTTTAAAATACATGATGATACCTAATACTGGTCTATAGCTTGCACATGCATATACATATACTTATATGTACGTGTCAAGAGGTTTAATTAAGAGATTAGATACTTCTTAGAGTCGTTACTAATGATAAAATGCTTATCTTATCGTTATTACAAAAAGTGATACTGGTTATTATTTCCGTTCGTAAGTAAAAAAAATGTAGGTACCTATTGCCTCGAAATATACGGGGCTTTCATTGCAATACGAACCAGTGCAGCGGTTGCAATTTGAAATGTTGATAAAAACCAAAAGCACGTTTATTTGAATAGCTTAATAGAAGGAGTACCTTACTTCCTTTACTTTAACTTTTTTAAGTCGTGTGTTTGGCATTGTGTTGCGCATTGTGTGTTTTGGCGTGTAGGATTGATTGGAAACACTTTTTCAAAATTCTAATACAAAAAATTTAACGTGTCAAAATTCATTTGCCTATACTTTTGACAATTTTTAAAACATTAGTATTATAGTGTTAAAGTAAATATTGAAAAACCAATTCTACCCAATCGTAGAATTATTATCCCTTCTCAATGCAAAGAAAATATGCGGACTTCGAACCCCTTGTCGTACAGATATGCCGGAGTAAGCAAGGAGAACTTCCATTTCAAAGCAATATCTAGAACACTAGTCACCTAACGAAAAAAAATAGAAGTTTTTTGTAGGAAATTTAACGGGGAACAAAAATCATACTGAGCCATTTTTATCCCTAAACCCGTGGATACGGAGATAATTGCAAAAAACCATAAAAAGTCACATTTTCCTTTGTTTAAACAAATGTTCCGGTCGTAGTTGGAGAATTATTTTTCTACCACATTTACATCCAAATGTAGGGTTTAAAACCAAAATTAGCTTATTAAACAAATTTTCCTTTTGCTCGCAAAGTAAAGAATTTACCTCGGAATTTACATACCTACATACAGATTGGTAAACTTGTTTAATATTTCTCATATCTAGTGAAAAAGCTATCTCCATTTTAAATATATACCTATACTTTAATTGCGAATTATAATCTATTAATCTGCCCATCTTACGTCTGAAGTGATATATTGATGTTTTGATCAATCTCCTAACAACTTTGTTATGTAAAAAATATTATGGAAACTGATTAAATCCACTTAAAGCACCACGTATACCTATACTACAAGCAACCGATTTTGGTTTCGCGACAATAGTGGCATTGAGGTGTTTCTAAAGCATTTGACATCAGCTTCTCAGACCAGCCCTTATTCACTGCGACTTTGATTAGAAGAAAATGGTATTATCACCCATTATGTGCCATATAGATCCATCTTAGGAGTTACGACCTCTCTTACATAATATTCTACTAAAATCTGCCGGTAAAGGTCTAATTTAATGGAGTACCTGGTTATTATTTGTACACCGATATGACACTCAAATTGATTATTCCTTCATCTTAATGAAGTGCACGCAGCAACGGAATTAGTAAACACGGGGTAGTTAATAATGCATTAGGGCACAATCTATATATACATCTAAATAAATCTTCTGTACTCCTTTTCTAACATGATCATCTCGGGATAAATTTATTACTATAAATATTGGTGACGTTCAACGCAAAATATGTGGCAAACAATTCGACAGTTTACTTTTTCACTTCAAGGCCAGTTGAAGATCTACTCTAAAACATCAAATGAGAAAACAATTTTTAAAAACAAAATGTAATGTTTACAGTTCTGAAATAAAAAAAATGCTCTATCAAATGGCACAAAAAGTAAAGAGACTTCCATAATAAACAAACAAAGTTGATGATAATTAATCCGAGACGAAAAGTTAAGACTTAAAATTTAAAACTAGCATCTTGTAGAGGGAAAAAATGACCATAATGATGTGTCATTTATTTTGAAATATCTTTTTAAAGAACTTCGGTAAAAAAATAAAAACGATTTCGATTTCGTTTCTTCAGGATATCTCCGAAAGTAGTCGGAATTTTTCAGTTTCAAAACGGCATTTTGTTATGCATCAAAATACGCCACTTTTCCAAATTGAAACTGCCGACCTATCCCTTACAGTTTCCGACATCCCCATGGTGGTCCTCGAATTTGAATCAACCTGTATACCTTTTACATATTTTTTGTAATTCAACAATTTCTAATAAATCACTGTTTCATACTGTGTAGCTCACAAAAGATACAAGACAATATAATAATTTATTATTAAAACTTTCACAAGGAACATCTTTACGTCAAGGCAGTTAGGACTGAAGTTAGCTTTATACCAAACATCTCCCCTTTTACGCTGCAACAAAGTCTCTAAACTTTGCAGGCTGTTTGACAGCCCTACCACATCTAGTTCTTACTACTGGAAGGCTTTCTTGAAATTGATTGTTATTTGATGCTTTATTTAAATTTTCTGTATCAGTAGCTTTAGTTTCAGAAAAACCTTCTTCGTAAGGTAATCCCGTAAATCTAGGTACATTTAAAGATTTTCTAATATGCATACTATTTCTATTTAATGTACGTTGCGTCTCAGTCAATACTTTATAATTACGTGGTGTTTGACCTACATCAATAATTTTTGCTCTTTCCCACACTTTTCGTAAAGGGTTTTGCACGACCACATCATCCCCTTTTTTAAACGGCTCCCTTTCCCTAGACGTTTTATCATAACAATGCTTAATACTAGCCTGATTATTAACCAACTTCTCATATGCGCTATTATATACTAATTTTGGTTGTAAATTAGAAAATGTAGCCGGAATCTTAGATCTTAATAATCTACCCATTAAAATTTCCGATGGCGAGTAATCTAAGCCAGCGACAGATGTTACTCTATACTCTAACAATGCTGTATAAATATCTTCAAGACATTTAGCTTTTTTAATGATACCTTTAGCCACTCCTACTCCTTTTTCAGCCAGGCCATTGCTTTGATGGTAATGAGGACTTATATAGGAAATATCAAAATTACAATCTGACGCAAATAGTTTAAACTTATAGCTACAGAAAGGATTATTGTCACAAACTATTATTTTTGGTATACCATGATTTGAGAATATACACTTCAATTTCAATATGATTTCTTCTATACATTTACTTTCTATAGGGATTATATCTAACCACTTAGATAGACAATCAACTGATATAAGGTAACATTTACCACCATATTCCCCAATGTCAATTGCGATTTTCAAAAATGGCAATTGAGGAATTTCTTGTGAAATAAGAGGTTCCTTAACATTAGACCTTTGAAATTTTTCACACTCTGTACATTTACTAACAAAATTTTCTATCATTCGCCATTTTTTTCTTAAAGTCAAAATAACTAAAAGACCATAAATGATATACATCAAAAGAACTGAAATTTCACGTGGAATCCAAAAATGCAATAAAAAATAAGGGTAGCCATTTAAAATAACGAAGTTACAAGCTACGTACGGTATTTCCGGAAGTGCGATCATTTTGAAAATAGTTTACATCGGCCTTCAGAGTAACTCCTAAGTACAAATTTTCAAAAACCTACCTACTTCACTTTCCCAGAAACGTTTAACTACAGCTCCTTAAAAAACACCCTGTATAGTAATAAGACATGTCATAAATAGAACAAGTGAAGGTAATATTCATACGCTTCATTCGCAGTCAAGCACATACATATCCTTGACGTGAAACGTATAGCCAATTTATTTTTTAAAAAAACCGCAAACTTTGCATCTGACATTAATCTCAACCCCATTTAAAAAGCGCTTCAAGTTCAACATGCTCGAAATTGCGATTTGTACGGTACAGCACTTGCATGTTCAGTTTCAATAAATATCTCGCAGATTTATACCTATACTTATTTATGTGTAGGTATACCAAAATTCGACCTTGCGTACCTATGAAATTACTTTAACCGTAGTTGCATACTAAGGGCGTAAGAGACCGAACTGATTTCAATAAACCTAAATTAACAATATACTCAACCCAATTTTATGTGAAGTAATGGAATTTTGATTTTCCATGCGCATTTTAAGCCGAAATTATTCCTATGACGAACACAAACCTAATTAACAATTAAAGCGAGTTTTTTTTATAAGATGCCAAAATGTTGAATGGGAAATTAGAAAGATGATACCTTCATTTTAACGCAGATTAATATTCCATATTTCTCAATTCCAAACGGTAATATGTTATAATAAACTTTAGAAAGCGCCTATATCCTTCTGATTTATTAGGCCATTAAGGATGCGTAAGTAAATAGGTTTCTAAATAATGATTTAAAGAATTATTGCTGGGGTATTATTCGAACATCTAGCACGATGCCGCGAGGGGTCAAACTTGCTTTATGTGCCCGCAATTTATTACATACGGACTGACGTTATGTTTTGATGAAAAGATCCCATGCAGTATTTTTCTTAAGCCTAGTAAATTTGTATCGTTAAATTACCTAATTTCCTTCTCCGTCACATGCTAGCAGTCTATCAAAAAAGTTTTCCAAATTAAATTTTCAAACATCTACAACTTCAGACGGTGGCATTCAAAAACTTTTCCGTGATCCAAAAGATCCAATCGGTATGAAAATTAAATCGTAGTAAATTGTAGCTTAGAAGATGACTTTAAGGGAGCCTTACTTTAGATACAATTACCATGTTTGTTATGGAATGAAGTTGCATATGAAGGAGGGATTCTTTTCAATAAAGTTTGATCTCCTATATGAGCTTTACAATTAAAAAAAAAAAATACTCACCAACGGCTAGCTAACACAAAGTTTACTGTGATTAACTTACTTACTGAAGATTTCTTGTTTCATAATTTCCTGTAATTTAACTTCAAATAGTGAAAGAATTCTAAGTAACGTTTCCGTTTACAGATGTAACTATTTTCTCTATTAACTAGATTAATTTTCGGGCCAGGTTTTTTACGACACATTTTACACACAGTTCACCTAAAGTATTATAGTCATAAACGGACCAACTAATTAGGTCCTCTCTATTGAGAGGAGCCAATTTTAGATCAATAACTGATTTATTTTATTACCTAGCAAATCCAATTCTAGTGG